CATCATCATCATATATTATCATTGTAATCATTATTTCATCATATCACTATCATTATTATCATTATGAGGGAGAGTAATATCATCATCATTTATCATCCATTATCATTATACATTATCCTATATTCATATCAATATCATTATCATCATCATCGTTTTCATTGTCATTTTTTTATATTATCATTATCATCATCGTTTTCATTGTCATTTTTTATATTATCACTATCATTGCTATTACAATCATTATTATCATCATTATCATTTCTAGTATTATTATAATCATTACTAGTGTTATTATCATTGTTATTATTATCACCATTATCATTGGTAGTAGAGTGTTGTCAATAGTGTTATCATCTATATTACCCTGTTTCCACATATCATGTCTATGAGATCATTTCTGTTTTATCATATTTTACTCATAAATAGGTATTTGGATAGATATGAATAATGATGTTAATACATAAAAATTAGGAACACACAAGTGTACATGCATGTATGCAATTGTATATCTATGAATGTGTGTGAGTGAATGAGTGAGTGACTGAGTATGTGTGTGTGTGTGTGTGTGTGTGTGTGTGTGTGTGTGTGTGTGTGAGTGTGAGTGTGTGGTGCGTGTGTGTGTGTATGTGTGCGTGTGTGCGTGGGTGTGTGGTGTGTGTGTGTGTGTGTGTGTGTGTGTGTGTGTGTGTGTGTGTGGTGTGTGTGTGTGTGTGTGTGTGTGGTGTGTGTGTGTGTTGTGTGTGCGTGCGTGCGTCCGTGAGTGGCTGAGTGTGTATGTGTGTGTGTGTGTGTGTGTGTGTGTGTGTGTGTGCGTGCGTGGTTACGTGCGTGCATGCGTGCGTACGTATGTGTGTGATTCTTTGTATGTTTGTTAGTTTGTGTGCGCTCTGTTAGAGTTTTATCCTGTCGCAGTATTTTTTGTCAACTAAGGCGAAATCGCATTTAGATTTCAGTTTACAATATACCTGCCACTCAGGTATCCATTACAATTAGTTCTCCCATTCCTTATAGTAGATTTACTTACAAAAAAGTAAACCAGACACAGGATATAAACTAAAGAGAGAAAAGACGTACCGGAAAATAACCGATATACGGCCGACCAGCACCGAATTCCCGCGCTTTTTCTCTCGGCACAGTCCACCTTTCGAAAGATATTTTTCTGTGTTGATTTATGTATATGTTTTGCGTGTTTGTGTGGGGAGGTTATCATGATGTTAACGAAAATGACAATAGTAATCACAACAATAATAATAATAAGTAATGTTTTATTATTATCAATATCATTGTTACTGTTATTACCATCATTATTATCACTCTTAATATAATTATTATCTTTATAATTATTATTCCTAATATCACTGCCATTATCAATATCATTATTATTATTAATACCATCACTGATATCATTATCCTTAGCATTATCATCATTCTATTATTTTCTATTATTATCATTCTTCTTGTTATCATAATATTAATGATAATTATTATCGTCATCATTTCTGTTGTAATTATCACTACTATTATTACTATTACCAATATTATTATTATTATCATTGTTATGATTATGATATTATTTCAATCATTTTTACTATTATCATTATCATTATCATTCTTATCATCATTATCACTATCAATACTATCATTATCACCATTGTTATTACGTCGATGGTGATGTGATGATGACAAATAATGATAGCAATTATAACAGTAATGACAATGGTAACGATAACGACAATAATAATGATAATAATAATAATCACCACACGATAAACAGCATATAGTCTTTATTAAACAAAAATTACACTTCAACAGTACTGGATGAATCTGGTGTAAGTCGCTAATGCATTTTTTTTTCTTCTTTTTTTTTCTTTTTTTTTTGGCGTGTGAGGAGTTGCGGGCTCTTCTAGCAACGACTGGCCGGAAGCATTTATAATAGCAATCCTTATTACAGTAACTCCCCCTTGATGCTTCCTGGTCTTTCGGTACAACTGACCACTCCCGTATAGCCACAGTAAATTACCGGCGTGGGAGCGATTCTATTTCAGTGCCAAGTCTTGCCCCACGTCGAGGTGGCCCTGCACCCACGCCCCACTCAAACCCCTTGGTTGAGTGGAGACTTGCTCTGATTTCACGTATTCCCTAGCGGATAGATCTAGGCCATCGTTCTCTCGTTTTTAAATTTATTGCTGGAGATTCCTCCACTTTGCGGTGCACTGAGACACTGCAGCAAGGGCGTGGTGGTGGTGGTTGGTGGTGTGCACCAGATATACATGCCCACTGAGTCGACATATCTTGGGTGGCTGTGACGGCATGTGAGTCCTGCAGGTGTGCAAGCATCTGTGTCGCCGCCAGCTAGTTAACCAGCTAGTTCCCAAGAAGGGTTAGGCGGCATTTGGAAGCTTTAGATTGCCACTAGCCTCTCTTCAGTAGGCTTGTATTTATCCCATTAGATGCTGAAGCCTGCGAACTCTGCCTCTTCTTGACAGAACTTGAATTCTCGGGGCTTCAGCATCACACCCCTCTTGGTGCACGTCTTAAGAAAATCATAAGGGTGCCAGAAAGCTGCCACTATGTTGTCGTTATTCAACAAGGCATCATCTATACATATAATTATTGTGGTATGCCTGTGATGACACCATCAAATCTTTAGAGTTAAATGTCTGGGGCTAAACAGTGGCCCATTGGGGCAATATTGGTAACGAGAGGTAGAGATGTTGAAGAAAATTTCCTCAGCAGTAGTACGTAGAAGTGGTGATGGTAACAATAATAATAACAATGATAATGATGATAATAGTAATATCATAATCTTAATATATATAATCATAATAATAATAGTAGTAATAAATAATAATGATAATTAATCATAATACCAAATTTAATATATACATACTTAGAATATCAAACTTACTTAATAATGATAACAGTATTTTTCGTTATTAATTTATTTTTCTTTATTTTCAAAGTCTAGTTTCAGGGGGGGGGGGGGGAGTAGCATAAAATAAAACAAACATGCCATATTCATATAACAATTTTTTATTTTCCCTTTATAATCATACAGCATATGTCTGCTTTTCTGTTTATGCACGACAGATCTAGATTACTTTTTATATAACCACCATTTTCAACTGTTCCCTTTTAATTGTTTAATTTGATATTTTTGACTGCTACCAAATTATTAGTTGCTTCCTGACAGCTTCTTCGAGATGGCGAACTTTTTCTTTTCATCTTTGGTGAACTTCTTCTTCTGAAAATAGTTTGTTGAATGAAAAGTAAATAATTTCTATGTTGTCATGAAACCATGAACATCTAGTATGAAAAATGATTGAGCCAATGCCTAATGATAAACAATTTATCATTTACTGATCTTCAAATGAAAATTATCTATTAATATCTTTTCATCAATCATTACATTTTAAAAGAAAAAAAAGTTAAATACATTAAAATTACAATTCCTATGCAAAGATACTCAAAAAATGAAGTCCTCAACCTAAAATATAAGCCTGACATTTTAAATTCTGACCAAAATACTAGCCAGTGTTCAAATAAAGACAAAGTCAAGTATTAAACCTATGTATATCATAAGACCTATAAATGTCATGTAATGGTTGACTTGCAATTACCATTTACACTTTAAAACTTACTTTTTTGATATTCTCCTTTGCTTTGAACTTCTCTCCGGTGAAGGAAGTCGCTGCTTTTTTCCCTCCTTGTTTGTTTTTAGCCATGAAATTCAGCCTCATCTTCTTGGGATTAATTTGCGTCTTCTTTTCCATCATCTTCTGACGCTTCTCCACTTGATCCTAGAGTTTGAAGTACACATTAATACAGTGAAATAACCTTAACTTTATTACTGTTTTCAAAGCTGCACGTGGCCTAGTGCATCTTCCATGCATATAAATGCTGAACATGTCAAGAGAATATCTGCTTGCTTGTCCAGCTACACTTTATCTTTTAGATCTTATTCAATTCATTCAAAGTATTTGAATGGTGAATTACAGTAGTAATCATCATCAAGTCCATGATTAAAGGAAAAATCAAATCAACATCATTTGTACTCAATCATTATTCTAATTAAACCTATTGATGCCAGAAGGGTATGTACTCTGACCAGTCTGCTAAGATTCTAGCTTAAGAATTCCATTTAAACGCACATGGTTCCACAAGTGCTTCACCACAGTTAATTATTAGATTCAAATGATCTCAAATGCTTACACTATTACTTGAATTTTGGGAAATAAAACAATATTTTCATTACTAATAGTACTGTTTACATTATTATAATAACAAGTATGACAATAATAGTAAAATGAAAATAATAATAGTATTAGGAATTATTTATTTAATGAAAATTCAACAAATGAGGTAAAAAAGTGAGGTCTGGCAGACCTAGCAAAGTTCTCCTTGGTGACTGAGTGCTTGTGAAGTTATTTATGTGCAAAGTTCTGTATGTTCAAAAAAGTTGATAAAGCAAAACTACAATTGACATGGATTATCACTCATCCAGGTTGCGCACGACAGTTGTATGGACATAAATCATTTTGTGAAGACAGTATATAGTAAAAGTAATTAGAATCATAAGTACTCCTACAACCATTCATATCAATTTTTTTCTGTATTGTTCCATCTTTTACAAATACCGCAACATTACTGTCTTACTGTGTTTCTGTTCTTAGATAAATGCTGTCATAAATCAAACTTCCTACCTACCTTCATCAAATAGCGCTTTACCCGCAACTGTCGCTTTCTAAGGGGGGTTCCACTCATCTTGAGAGCCAATTCAACAGCATCTGGTGACTGAAAAATATACGTAAAAAAGTAAATGATCACAGAAATAATTCAGTAAACATAATCAACATTTTTTTATTTAAATTATAGGAAGCATGGATCTCAGGAGGGCAAAATTTGTGTGGGTGATAAAAACAACTAGAATAGAATTTAAAAGACAAAGAGATGGATACATTAACAAAAAGGAAATAAAATAATGATGGGGAAACAAGCCAAGGAAACAAAACAAAACAAAAAAAATAGAGAAAAAATTTGGGGTGAAATGCAATACAAAGAAAAAGAGGAGAAAATGAAAAAAAGAGTAAAATCAGAAGTTTAACAACAAAAACCACAATTACCTGGAAGTTAACATAGCCAAATCCCTTTCCAGAGCCAAGCTCTTTGTCACGTACAATGCGAACATTCTCAATTGCACCGCAGTCCAGAAAGATGTCTCGAACCTCCTCCTCGTTGGCATCTATTTAAGTAAAGAAATTCATCCAAACATTTAAATTTCACTTAAAAAACAGGAACTTCTGTGTTCTACAACTCTAAAGATAACATTACACCTTATACTAATTAAGAAAATAAAAATGGAAGTTTAACTTGATCCTCACCAAATGGAAGATTTCCAATGAAGACAGAGCACTTGGGATCGATTTTACGGTTTCCAGAGGCTCGATCAACTTGAAGGTGCCTTCCATTGAGAATCTTGTTGTTGGCACTCAGAGCAGCAATTGCCGATTCCTCAGCCTTGAATCTCACATAGGCAATAATGGATACCTGTGACTCATGAAAATGTCTCCTGAGGAAGAGAAAAAGAGTTACCAGTTACAAAATGGTACTATTTGAAATGTGTGAACAAATCACAGCACATGCTTTTGGATAGGCACCCACACAAAAGAAAAATTACTCAAATGGTAAATAGACAGTATAGCTCATGGGATGACAATAACAAATATTCATGCCATAAAGAAACAAAATAGAAAACCCCAGAAAACAAATTGCCTATGGACAGATGGAAAAAAAGCAAACTAAATTTCTTGTGCTACCAATCCAATAAATAAAAATAATCTACACTGCTACACCACCTTAAAAGGAAGGCAACCCTTTCTAAAATACCTACTTAATCATCGCCACTTTTTTGGACTCGTTTGGGTCAGCAACAGCAGCATTACGGAAGCGAACAGTCTCAACCTGCATTATAATAAATAAAATACACTATATTAGTCTAAGAACAGGACTGATGTATTCAAATGTTTCTAGGCAAATACACCAAAGTAATTACGGTTATCATAAGACTATTTTTGTAAAACAATCACAACTCTGTGTCGTGCTATTTAAAGATTAGAAATAATCATTGTATTTCAAATTTCAAGTGACCAAGAACTCTGAAAATACACAAGAAAATTATACAGCCTTTATATATTTCCTTTTCAAACATGTGCATATGTATAGATGCATGTTTGTATGTGCATCTGTACATGTATATGAGTATCTGTAGACTATATGGGTATGTGTATGTAGGTGTGTATGTGTACATCTATAAACATGTGCTCATATATACAAACACACTAGAGACAAAAAATGAACATCAATACTCACCTCCCCATATTCTTTAAAGATTTTGCGCAATGCTGATCGCTTTACTTTAATATCAACATTGCCGACAAATAAGGTACGCCGCTCCAGTTCTTCTTTGGCCTCTTCACTCTCTACCTTAGCAGATGGTTCTTCATCTTTGTCCTCTTCTATATCATCTCTGTAAAAAAAAAAATAATAATAATAATAATAAAATAAAAAATAAAAAACATGGGAACAGAAAAAAAAACAAAAAACACACACAAGCAAGAATGCTCAACACATAGTCTTCCCTCTCAATCAAAGCCCAGCCACGCCCTTTGTATGAATATTTCATGACAAGGATACATCCTTACAAACTGGGAAAAAAGCAAGTGAACTAAAATATATTCAAAATTAGTTATACAAACTTCTCATCATCTGCATCTTTTTCTTCCTCTAGTGGCTTCTCAGCTGTGTCTACTGACTTCTTCATTTTCTTTTTCTTATTTGCCTTTACTCCTTCTTTATTCTCTGCAGGATCTTGGCTGTCACTCGCCCTCTTTTTCTTGTTTTGTGGTTTTGCTTCTGCATTTCCCGACTGTTTTTCATCATCATTCCTGAAATAGTTTTCAATATCATATAAGCCAGAAAGCTATGAGAGCACATGATAACTTTGACAATTTTGGGCTATTGTGATACACTAAAGAATGAAAAATCAATATATAAAACCCTAAGTGACAATTAAAAATTTAACAGCTATATATTGGATAAAATCTTTGCTGCCTAACAATTAATGCCTTTATAGTTGAATCCCTAGTTACAATCTGCTATTGTCATGCACAAGGTAAACTTTCTCTCATCATGGCAGGTAAAATAATTATCAATACCAGCATTGCATGTATTAACAAGAGAGTGATTTTGAGAACTCCATAAATTGGTCAACCAGTAATTCAATAAATCGGAGGTGTTTATAACATTACATTTGCCAACACATTAAAGCCAGTACGTCTGAAACCAATCAAAACTGGCATAAAGCTAAGAAAACAGCCCTCATACTTTCCCAATAGCTATTGCATCAGATTTTGAGCCCAACAGCATACTTGGGTGTACATTAGCAGAGGGGTGTTAACTTTTGAGGTATGAGTGATTACATTAATTCTCAATAGCAGAACCTGTGATAGCAAAGGATTGAGTGTGCTTGTAAGCTGACAAAAATTATAATAAATGAATAATAAATAAATAAGAATTAATAAATTCAAACTATTAGTTATACAAACCCCTCTTCATCTGCAACAACCTCCTCAGCTGTCTCTAATGACTTCTGCATTTTCTTTTTCTTATTTTTCTTTGCCTTCACTTTTTCTTTTGGAGTAACTTGGTCTTCTTCTTTATCTTCCAACTGCTGTTCATTATCATTCCTGAAATAGAACAAGTCTTCAATACACATAAGCCTGAAAGGTACCAAAGTAAATGAAAATTTGAACAACTGAAATACACCAGAGAACGAAGATGAAATTAAAGATATCAAGGGTTTACATAATGGTGCATTTGAAAACATCTTAATACAGTGTCTGAAATTCGAAATATGTTTCAAGTTTCCAGACTACATGCAGTATATATACTTCACTTACCTAGAATCAACCTCTTCTTTTTCCAAACCACCATTTTCTTCATTTATGGCTTTCTTTTGAGCCTTATTCATTTTCTTCTTTTTGGGAACTGCTTCAGGTGCGACTTTCATATTCATTCTGAAAGATATCCAAGTACATGATTATTTCAAGCCACCAAAGTACACTGAAGAATGATGATGAATCAATAAATAAAAGCCCAAGGGACAATTTAAGAAAGCAAGGGTAGTCCTATACATAAAAGTGTATCTGAAAACACGTAAAAGCGGAGTCTAAAATTCCACGCTATATTTCTAATTTCCAGAGACTATATATGCTGCATATTACACTTACTTAGAATCACTCTCTGCTTTTTCCAAACCTCCATCAACTGCTGCATCAATATGTTTTTCATTTATGGCCTTCTTCGCTTGTGTCTTCTTCATTTTCTTCTTTGTGGTGACTGGTTTTTGTGGGACTTGCTTACTCATTCTGCATCAAAACAGACATTCACTGTGATAATTCTAAATACATAACAATTACAGCATAATAGAAAAGCTTTACAAACATTGTGTGAGAATCATATGTTAGTAACAACAGCATAATTTCAAGTTTAAAATTATATGATGAACTTACTTGGTCACGGACACCATCCTGATAACAATTTACAGTAAATTCCTTTTTAGACTTCCCACTGAAAATAAAGAAAAACACATCAATACATTTCAATGCAAATCCAACCTGGTGATAAAAGAAGTAATTACAACATAACCAATAATAAAAAAAAATACATAACTAAACTATGGAATTTCAATATGAGGTTTAACAGTGAAGGGAGGGAGGAGGGAGAGGAGAGGAGAGGGAGGGAGAGGGGGAGAGGAGAGGAGAGGGAGAGGGAGAGGAGAGGGAGAGGAGAGAGAGAGAGGAAGAGAGAAGAGAGAGAGAGAGAGAGAGAGAGAGAGAGAGAGAGAGAGAGAGAGAGAGAGAGAGAGGAGAGAGAGAGAGAGAGAGAGAGGGAGAGGGAGAGGGAGAGGGAGAGGGAGAGAGGAGAGAGGAGAGAGAGGGAGGGAGGGAGGAGGAGAGAGGGAGAGGGAGAGGGAGAGGAGAGGAGAGGGAGAGGGAGAGAGGGGAGAAGAGTAGAGGTAGGGGGAGGGAGAGGGAAACAATAAGATAAGTAATATGACATCTTGATGACATTTATATGACAGTCTTGTAATTGACATCAACATCATATTCATATAATTGTGATAATGTTGTTTACACAACTTCATTTAATCCCTCTTGGCCTGACTGCATCTATAGAAAAAGAATGCGGTGGGGGGGGGGTCATTACAAGACGGACAATCCTCTCAGAACATGGCTGCATAAAGAAAAAAAAAAAGAAAACACACACACACACCCCACACCCCATACCCAACACAACACACACACACACACACACACAAAAATATATATATATTGCTATATTGAAAATTCAATATTTTCTTTATTTGTATTTTGTGATAATATTTTGTAATATCCTTGTGTTTGATCAAGCTATTGATTCCGGGCACTGGTTAGATGTCCTTGCAATGTACTATAGGTATTGACCTAATCTTCTAGAATAAGTTCTTATCTTAAAATCTCAAAATTTAGTAACAATGAACTCCTTATGATTCCTTGTGTTCAATAATGGTGGTTAGTCAGAACTAGGCACAATTGTGATGATATCTGGGAGCTGAGAAATATCCTGGGCCCTGGAATAGCAGGATTAAATCATGCACGAGCTATACAGTTAGGCCTATGCCAATGTTCCGGAGCTGTCCCCCCAACACTCTCCTTTAAGGGGGGACTGCTCACAACTTGAAATGCAAAACCTCTACCACAACTGACCGGCAAGATACAGCCCAAAGAGGTCTGGGTGATATGCCTCATGAATTAAGTCAGAACCCAGATGTGGCTGAGGCTTCACGAGATACCCAGCGCTCACCTTCCTGTTGGCACCATGGCCTTGTGCAAATTTTGAGATCTTTGATGTTTACATTGTGCTTGCCTATTGTTTTTCGCAACTACTACTGTTATATTTGGTTTGTAACGGTACTACACTGCTATTCAATACTGAAATACCGGAATTTCCACTATACTACACTACTACAAAATGTCTGTACATCAATTATTATCACTTACACTGAACTACTGTATATCTTACATACTAAATCAACTGGCAAAAAGTAATATTACCCATAACACGTTCTATTTTGCGCCCAAAGGTCTTCCTTTTCTCCAGAAACTAGAGAAAATTAAATGGATTTTCCGTCTGCTCTTCCACACGTGTGAGGAGAGCGGTGTGTTTTGTTTTGTCCGTGTCCGAATGCTTTTTCCAGTTCCTGACTGCGGCCTCGGAAAGGGGTATTCACTTTTTGGAAGGGTACGAATGTATAATTGTAATATTTGTACCGTTTTAGGTAAATAATTTTCTTCCTAGTATTCTTAATATTTTTCAGATATTTTTTCATTACCTTTATCAGACTATCCTTCCTTTTTAGCATCCCTTATGTGTATATTCGACTACTTAAACCGTCATCGTCGAGGTTAAAATCACAGAAATCGGACAAGCGTGACGTCACATAAAAATAAACCCACGTGAAGAATGCGTATTTCTTCGTCTAATTTATTGAAATTCGCTAAATAAAAGTAAGTTACTTCCAAGAAGCCTTCCGTATATGTATTTGCTCTAAGTCCTGTGCCTTCATTCAAAACGAGAATGAAGAAACGAAATAAATACCGAGTTCTTAATTCTGGTTGAGATTTTTAGCTTGAACCTCGAAGTTTAGTCTTATTTTTCTCTTAAAATATCTTTAATATCTTTGTCTTAAATGATAGCACATGAGAACAGAGGAAAATTCTGGAGAATTTCCAACTATTTGACCAATTTTATGATTACACATATGTGTACAGAAATATTGGTAGGATATCGTGGTTATTGTTGTAGATTTGCACCACAAGGGTTGTAGAACATGTAAATCTTACAGATTAACCTTCAGAGGCTTCCAAAATGCAAATTGGCTATATCATAACCAGTTGTATAAGGATCTTCGTATAGTGTTCCTTATGCAATTAGCGAAACTCTCATTCATTGGTACTTTAGCAAATGCCAGAAGGGTTGGTAAAGTGTACTATGTATATACCATCAAAAGCAAATGTCGACAGGTTTTTCATCTTATGGTAAATCACCCAAGGCAGTCTATGACCTTTTATTTTCACAAAATATTTGTGAAAGTGGTATGTTGGTTTTCACTTCTGGAGGCAAGTGGTAAACATATGGGTGTATTAGAAAGATTCGCCAAAGAATCACATAAGATATTTGGCTAGATTTAAATTGCTTCTTCTTTAGAAATATGATAAAGTTTCTTCAACTTTTCCTATTTTTTGTTGTCATGCCTTTTCTCAATGAATATTATTTCATGTATATTCCCAGTCATATTTGAAGTACTGCATTTAATTTTATTTTTTGCCCTCTTGTTATGTTACTTTGAATTCTGAAAATACTTTTGTGTTATCCAGTGTAAGAATTTAGTACTTTTGCAGTATTGAATGTATTGAATAAAAAAATGAGTGTGATTGATATTAAACTACCATTAGTAGAGAATTAGGAATGTATAATGTAATGATATTATTCTAGTCATATTATTGAATATTCTATTAATATTATTTAAGCATGATCACTATCAGAAAATAGGTGAGAAAAGTGTTTCTTCGCAATGCATTTGAAGATAATCAGAATTAGCCTTATAAGAGAGAGAATATGTACTATTATAAACTGTTATTCTCCAGAGACTAATTTTTTTTTCATAATTTCAGTTAAAAAATCTACTGCGACATCTGTAATAGCAAAGATTATAAGACTGATGAAATACACCAAGTGAAATTCGTTATAAAAGAAAAAAAACATTAGCATGATGGCTGTTTCCAGGTAAATTTTTTTGCTGAAGATATAAAAAGGAAAAAGGTGAAATATGTAGATATGAGGAATTTACTTTAACTGTAGTCATTTCCATTCTAATGATGCTTTTTCTTTCAGTGATTTTGAAAAGCCTCAGCATGACAGTCCAGCACAGAATCAAGATAAGTCTAGTGCATCCAAAAATAATAAAAAGACAAAAGAGAAAATAATTCCTTCAAAAAAACAGAAAATGAACAAGGGACTTGATATGAAGAAATTAAAAAAGTTATTAGAAGCAGACAAAGCAGCAGGAAATCAAGAAACAAATGGGGAAAGGTTTGTGTTTGTGTATTTGTCTGTACATTATAAAGAAATAGATAACAATGTAAAACATCGCTGATGCAAATGATAGATTGATGTGTACTGTGACATATTTGTTGACTATTGATCTTGAGATTATGTCAGTCTGATTCTTGCCCATTGGTTGATACAATATCACTCAAAGCTCATTCGACATGTAAAAGATATTACTTGGCTGACATGAAAATTATGGTTAATGAATTTTTCTACTATGTTTTTGGTACAGTTTTGTGTTAATACTTCTGTTACTTGAGATTAATATGTCATACATTATACAGTATTCTCATGCAATATGTAATTTATGCTAGCATGTGATGATTTCCTTTCAGTAAGCCTGATGTCAAAAACAAAAAAAGGGCATCTGAGAAGCAAGCTCCATCATTTGTTGAAATGGAAAGGAACAAAAAATTCCAGCAAACATTAGAGGCTGATGATTCCTTCAACCCATTACAAGCAGATAAAGGAATTGGTAACAAGAAGTAAGTATAACTTTGAATTTACAATGCATCCTTGTAGATTATCATTCAAACATCTGTTTCTTGCAGTAGGATCATATACAGTGAAGCTTAAATGATAGATAGTGCTTGCCGGACCTAGATATTATGAATATGATTTTCATGCATTTTTACATTGTTACAAAGTGTGGACTGGTGTTACTATTACTCCTTACCATAACTTACATTAAGATAAGATTTAGACCCTGGAAATAACATACACTGTTGTTTTCTTCTTCAGCAAAATTGAAAAGCCATGTGGAAATGATTCAGGCAAAACAGATAAGAGAAAAAGGGAAAATGAGAACAAAACATTTGAAAAGGAAAGGAGCAAGAAATTTAAGACAGATAAAGGAATTAGTAAGAGGTGTGTATGGTCGTGATATTATAGTATATCTGATGACATTATTGAGACCTCTGTCCTTTAAATAACAATCATGTGCAGTGTAATGTGAAAGTTGAGAATTGGTTGGGGTGTCTATGCATGATTTCCCCTTCGAATTTTATCATTGCAATTTTTAAGAATGGATGTGAGTTTGATATTCTGTTTTATGTCTGATTTATTAAAGTGCATTTGAATCTAATGTCTTGTCTTAATATTTTCAGCTGGAAGAAGGGGGCCGTTGGAAGAGAAAAAAATCGTGCAAAACAACACAAAAGTCAGAAAGAGGAAACTCCATTCAAAGGAGGTTTTGTATTTGTTGGCAATATTGATTTGAAAGCAAAACGCAAAGGCATACAGAAATTCTTTCAGACATATGGTGAGGTAAGTCCATAATATCGTCTCACATCAATCTATATAGTATCATATTTGTTGTTTAAATATGCATGTTCACAAGGATCAATTAATCTATTTTTGAAAATAGGAAAATGTCATTCAAGAGGCAGTTAATTAAGACTTTAGTGGAAATGACTCTAAACTGGGGGTTGTTGTTAAGGCTGTTTTGTGTATATAGACGAATAAAAAGGTATTAGTTACATATATATATCTTCTTGCATTTGATTGTTAAAAGGTGCCAGACCAGTGGCCAGATAGTTTTCGTACACTTGCATAAACCCAAGAGTCAATTCAAAGATATATAGATTAAGAAATACTATCTATTAATACCTTATGTAAGTTGACAGGGGAAACGTGATTTTTTTTTAATGCATCCATAATATAAGATAAGATAACTTTTTTTATCAATTTGTGATACACTATATCTACAAATTGTTTTTTTGTGGCTCATAGCACGCTATAAAAGTAAAACATCTAAGAATCTAAGAATGAACATTTCAATCTGTCACAAAATATTTAACATCTCTGCAGTAATTGTTCATATAAAACACGCATTACACAAATTATTACATAGTAGGAATATTATTTCATGCAGACAGTCAGGGTATTAAAATTATTTCATTTTTAAGTGGCTAAAGAGAAGAATGCTTTTTGGCACAAAAGATTTTCTATATCTATCTGTGTGTTGAGCAGTTGGTGTTAATCTTCTCCCTGAACTGAGGTACACCTAACAGTGGTGCAAGGGATGCTTTACATCGTTTGTTATCTTTTCCGTTTGTTTCATTTTACCTCTCTGATAGAGCACATCTAGAGATTTGGTTTCAACACTCAACTTCTTATATTTCTTAACTACCCTCATGAGTTTATTCTTATCATAGCATGTCATACTAAACAGTTACTGGGAAGCATATAATGGACTCTACAGTGGACTGTAGGGTAGCATTTGAAGCAGATAAATGCAAGCAGTTGCTTTACTAGATAGTATGTGATTGGCTTCATACATTTGTTCACTTTCTTTTTTTTCCAAAATGTAATTTAGGTGGAAGGTGTACGTATTTGCAGTCTTGATCAGGCACACCCACAGGACAGAAAGAACATTGCACCTTTTAGGTGAGTGCTTGTACTGTGCTTGTGAGATCTTGTCATCTTTCACTAAGTTGGCATCACTTACTAAATCCTTTCTATGTACAGAAATATATTGGTATATCATTCTGTGTAGTTTATATATATATATATATATATATATATATATATATATATATATATATATATATATATATATATATAATTATATTATATATATATATATATATATACAGGTGAGGTGTGTATAATGTCAGCCTGAAGTTTGACTTTAAGCATCTGTTATAAATAATTTTCATTTTCATTCATTTCTATATATTCACATATGTAAATGCATCACATGTTATGCATCAAATAAAGGAATCTTCAAATCTTCAACAGAAAGAGTTTGCAGTTCCAGGAGGCTTCCCAGTGTGCCTATGTGAGGTT